ATCTGTACTAGTGGTTTAGACCTATCCAAAATTTACCCAAAAACCGTAGAAAGCCCAATATGGAAAGGTTGACGATGGCCCCGGCATAAAGTAGGTCGACGCTCGCCCACTCATCGACTAGTAACCGTCAACGGTCAACAACAAAGCTACACTCTAGTAAACAGCAACCACGTGTCCCCCATAACGTCCACGTCACCAGTTAGTCCTCAAACCCAGGTGCGCAAAGTGCGCTACGGCGCAAGATAGAGTCGCCCACCAGTGTGGCCAGCATTGAAAACCGGATAAGAACTTTACCTAAAACAATCAAGCGAATCGGATATACATTACCAAAGCCAGCACCTCGTTTATTGAAGTCCGAGTCAATCACGAACTATGCCCTCTCATCATCACAGCTCTCCACGTGTCCCAAAACAGTCCCTCTCTCACTAAAAGTATTTAATTCCAACGGTCCTGATTTATTTTGCGCGATGAGGAGAGTGATGGGTATGATATTTGGTTAGTTTGGACGTATTTGGCGTGGCTTTCAGTTTTCGTAGTTAAATATTGTCTGTGTGTGTCTGATTCTGAGTAACAGAGAGAGAGAGTTCTAGAGACAGAGAGAGAGAGACAGAGACAGAGACAGAAAATTGTACTTTGTGTGCGTTGAGAAAAAAAATGGGTGTGCCGGCGACGACGACGATGGGGGAGAGTGAGAGCCCTCGGAGCCCAGAGGCAAAGCTTGGGATGCAAGTAGAGGATTTGTGGGACGTGCAAGAGCCACAGCTAAGTCCAACTGAAAAGCTCAATGCTTGCTTTGAGAGCGTCCCTGTCTCTGCCTTCCCTCCTGCTCCTTCTAATCAAGGTACCATCTTTACAGTACATACATACATACATACATCTATATACAAAATTACGATACATACATGCATACATACATACATAGATTTTCACATTTGGGTTTGATTGATTTATGCATATGCTTGTTGGGTAACGTTTTCTTGGCAGATAACATTTATAGAAATTGGATCATGTTAAAAATTTTGTTATATGTGTATATGGTGATGAACAAATGATTAGTTAATAAGAATTTGATGATTATGAATGTTATTAGAAGAAGAAAACAAATAATTAATAAAGAAAAGTAAGACAAATCATGTTCTGTTGGAATTTGATGAAGGTTCTGGAAAATTTGAATTATTATATTGAGGATTGGAAATTAAAAACCTTTTTGTTTGCCTCATAACAACCATGATTGATGTGTGTGTATTGGATTATTAACATTTTAAACGTTTGTTGTTTTCAGTGATTGAGATAAAGTCAGACACCAGTTTAGCTGAAGCTGTTAAAATCCTGTCCCAACACAAAATTCTTAGTGCACCAGTGGTGGATGTCGATGCGCCTGAGGATGCTAGCTGGATCGACAGATACATCGGTATTGTTGAATTTGCCGGGATTGTTGTGTGGATTCTGCATCAGGTTAGCTTGTGGTTCGAAGCTCCTGCATTGAAACATCTGCTCATGTTACTAAAAATGCATTTTCTTTTCTCATGTGCCCACAAAGTCATATTTGACAAGTTGAAAACATGATGTTTATGTTAATCTTGACAGTCAGAACCTCCATCTCCGAGGACGCCGACCAGTCCATCGAGTGCAACCGCGATTGCCGCAGCAGCTAATGGACTGAAAGGTCTTGATATTGCAGGATTGGAATTGGGCTCTGACTTTGCTGCAACAACTGCAGGAAGTTTCTTTGAGGCTTTGACCTCATCTGAGTTTTACAAGAACACACAGGTCATACTATTGGCATAAACCTCAGCCTCAGTAGCATAAGCCTTACTTTCATTCCCATGATATGTATTAACGTTTGAGCTTACAGGTTCGAGATATCTCCGGGTCCTTCCGCTGGGCTCCATTTCTTGCTTTGCAAACATCCAATTCCTTTCTCACCATGCTTTTGCTACTTTCCAAGTACAAGATGAAGAGCGTTCCTGTGGTTGATTTGGGTGATGGAAAGATTGATAATGTCATCACACAATCTGCGGTGATTCACATGTTGGCTGAATGTGCCGGACTTCAGTGGTTTGAGAGCTGGGGAACCAAGAAACTATCCGAACTCGGTCTTCCCATGATGACTGCCGATCACATTGTCAAGGTGCATACTTTTTACGCTTGCAGCATTTGGTCTTCCTAGATAATTTTAATAGTCAGAGAATTTAGTAAGGTTGGGTGCACAAGAGAAGAAAAACCCTCGAGAAGTTTAAGTTGTCGTATTAGACAGTTGCTTCTGCTAGCCTCAGTATGTTTCCAAAAGTTTTTGATGATCCATTAGAATTCTCTCTTTCAAACACAACGACATCCTGTCAGCATGTTTACTTCTTGTCATTTCTTTAAATTCTTTAATGTTCTGGTGCAGGTATATGAGGATGAACCGGTGCTGCAAGCATTTAAGCTGATGAGGAAGAAGAGGGTTGGAGGGGTACCTGTGATTGAAAAGGGTGGTAGCAGGGCCGTAGGTAATATAAGCTTAAGAGATGTTCAGTTCTTGCTTACTGCACCGGAAATTTACCATGACTACAGGTTCGTAGCGAAAATGTGTTCAGAATTATTCATAAAGAAGTTTAGTTGCTATGTATGCCTGGATCATTCATTTGACATTTTATGACAGATCGATCACGGCGAAGAACTTCCTGACGGCTGTTGAAAAGTACCTAGAGACGCATCATGAAGTCTACCCAATGTTGAGTACCATGGTTACGTGCAAAAAGGATCACACAATCAAAGACCTAATTCTGATGCTGGACGCCGAGAAGATCCACAGGGTATATGTTGTGGATGATGATGGGAATCTGGAAGGAGTCATTACACTCAGGGACATCATCTCAAGGCTAGTTCATGAGCCCCGTGGCTACTTTGGTGACTTTTTCGATGGTGTTCTGCCTCTCCCCCAAAACAGCAGAGTTTAAGAGAAGAAGGCATCAAGAACAACACTTCTGACATTTCCACAAAAGCAAATGAGTAACCCTGTCTTGTATTGTTTTGTTTTGCCCCGTGCGTGTAATTAGTGTTTCTTCGGTTTGACAGGGTTTAGCTTTCTGTATAAATGTTGTATCCACAAGCCCTCCCCCAAGCGAGCTTTTTTGCAGTAACAATCGAATAATCAAGTGCCTAATGTCTTCGTTATACTATAAATTTACCCCCTAGTGCTGAGATATGCCCTTGTCACTGCTAGCTAGCAGTTCGCAACTTTCTGGTATGAAAACGAATCAGCCAAGTTTGGACTTTTGTCCATGTTTCCAAGCAAGAAGCCCAACTTATCTTGTATTGCCCTAGAAATAAAAGTTGAAACTTCTCTCAATGTTGCATCTAACTCCAATCTGCATGGACAAGGCTATTAGGTGCTGATATATTAAACGCTATTAGAAGAAGCCAATTTCAGGTTCATGGAGATAAACGGGTATATCATTGTTTTGCTATTCCTGGTCAATCACATTTAGATAAACGGGTATATCATTGTTTTGCTATGCCTGGTCAATCACATCCCACTATGTATGATAATCAGTGTTTGCTATCTCCATGATATACAAGTTTCTTCTCTCGGACATGGCACGTTTGTAGGTTGCACTTGCAACATAGCAAGTGGGGTTCACTGTTCCAATCAGTTGGGAATTGAAAACGGTGTTGTTTTTGTTTCCTGTAGGACCTTTTGCTATCGAGCCTTCTCTCTCATCATCCACCTAAGCCAAATAATTGATTGAATTTGAATGGATGGACACTCTACCCTCTGAAACATCATGTTACCTCCCATGTGTGTCGTTTCCATCTTCATTGTGCTCGCAAACGTCAAGACATATCAAGTGGTTCGCTGTCATGTGCAAAAAATGAGAGATTGAAACAGGCGAAAACGCCAACGGATCCATAGCTCAGTGATAATAGAGCATTTGTAACGACATTGAAGACTACTTGAAACATTTTTTTAATGCTTTTTTTTTTTCCAGTGTTTATTTTTATTTCTCTCCTTTGCCCTCCGATACTAGAAAACTGAAAACTCACTCTACACTATAGATGAAATAATGCCTTGCAGAAGCCAAATAGAGCAAAAAATCCAAAACCGGCAATGTTTCCAACTTCATGCCACATGAAAACCAAGATGGGAAAATTCGCCATCACACAAGCAGTTGCCACTAAACACTAACAGCAAAACTGGCCATATGCACTAAATTTGTAATTTTTCTCTCTTTTCTTGGCTGTCTTTTTGTCGGTGTCTACCTAAAAAGCTTGAATCGAATCACTCCCCTACAGAGAAAAATCATTGACATCTTGGTTATCATTGCATCTGACCTTTCACCAATTTGCTAACCCTAGATTGTAAACTGTCATTGTCCGCACAAACAATCGATAGTCGATTTCTTAACACACATTCTCAAAAACTTCCACTTCATCCATCAATGGCTTCAATGATCCTGTAAATAAGTTCTTCATTTCTCAAAGAAAATTAGATGAGCTAGAAAACTTCACGATCTTCCCTATGAAACCATGCTCTATATAGGGTATGCTAATTCAGCAGCAAGGAAATTGCTACTCTAGCCACCGCGTCAAGTATCAATCTTGGAAATTTAGAAGTGAATTAAGTGATACCTAATTCCTAACAATGCCTCCACACAATTCCAAAAACTCATTAAAAGATGAGGAAATTGTAATACCAAAGTTAATTATTGCCCCCAAAAACCCTTCTGTTTGTTAATTTTTTTTCCTAAAAGTAAAAAGGGTTTGAAAGATTGATAACTTCGCAGAAAACCATTCAAACCCTCAAGCAATTTCTCAGTTCATGCACAAGCAATTGTCACTCATGTTTAGAGGGGAAAATAAATTTAAAACTGTAATGATACATGTTTCTGAATCTTTGTGTATATCAAATTTAATATTTTACAGCGACGGTTTTAGTTCTTCTTCCGCACGCAGATAACATACAAATGTCGCTGGCGATCATGGCAATCAAATACATGAACCATGAAAAAAATCCATGCATAAAAAAAACTAAAGTCTATAAAAACATGTACAAAAATCATTACAGCAAAAGATAGGAGGGGTTGGAAAATAGCTTTCACAAAAACCTGTGTTTATAACATTAACACCAGCAGAATAAATAGGTATCATCATCAAGCTACATTCTTTTTTTTTTTCTTTTTCAACATTAGAACTCTGTTCCAACTTCCAACTAGTCCTTGATAAAAGCAAAGGGTTTACCTGTATTCTATGTACTTTTTCTTCTCAGATGGTGTAGAACACCTGGAGTCCCCTCAAACAAATCCAACACATAGCCCTCCAAATCATCTGCTGTGTACTTTATATACTTCCCAGCATGCCTTCCACTCTCTAGCTGACTCCCAAACCTCCCCATAAACGACCTGTAAGCCGGAATCACCTTCTCTGATATAGATATCCGAAGCTCCTCCCGAAGTTGAGCATCGGGGACCTTCCAAGCTGTCTGGATCCTATAGATTTCTTCAAAGTTTGCATTGAAATTCTTAAACCTCTCCTTCAAAGCCATCTTTGAAGCATTACTCGTGCTCCCACCAATTCCTTCATCTTTCAAACAAGACAAGGCCTTACTCCAAGCAGCTCTAAGATACCCAGTAGCATACTGGCGTACCTGGCCACGGCGCTTGCGAACCCATTGATCTCCCAAGAGCTTTCTAATCTCAGAATCCTTCACTTTCTGCACTATGTACAGAATGTTATTCATCAAAAACACACACTGCATTGCTCCATCATCATAAACCCTAGACTTCTCCTCGAGATTGGACTCCAAATTCGAAATCAACAACAACAACCTATGGCCTATCGGGGACATGCTTTCTATACCCAAATCATCATTTGGCAGCCCTTGCAACCTTTGTAACTCTTCTTCACCAGTATCCAAAAGCGAGTTGAGAGTATGACTATAATCAACCAACAATCTAACATAGTTCATGACATACCGAGTAAGCGGATGAATCTCACCGCTTAGCATTGGTTTCTTACTGGCCTCGCTCTGAACCGCATTCTCAAACTCTGCAAAGGTCCCTTTGGCTGCATCACCAAGCTCATCCAACACTCCCCTGGCCTCAATAACCACATATTCATCAGTCACCATTTGCTGCAAGTCCGGCAACACATCGGCCATGGCATCATACATATCAAGTATCCGAAACAACTTCTCCGGCGACCTTCGACCAATGGCTACCGCCTGTCCAAAACTCAACAGCTGCATAATACACCCTTTAGCAGTCTCATTGAAGCAAATCTCCCTAGTCTCATCAGTCCCCTCAAAAATCTGATCACAAAGCCTCTTTTCTCCGGTTAGCAAAACCCTAACGCCGATTTTCACAGCTTGTATCCACTTCTTCATTTTCTCATCCAAAGACTTCCACTCAATCTTCTGAACCTCCTCAATGCTCAGCTTCTCAACCCCAAGAATCACTAAACACTCGTCCAAAGCGTCACGCCTGACACTGCTATACACCTGGATACACTCCTTTTCGTAACCAGACCGGATCATACGCTCGGCGATCTCCTTCAGCTCGACGACGGCATCGGGATGTATCAAATCCACGTCTGTGTCGCCGAGGCTGCCGCCGCGCTCGTGGAACCGGCCAGCGTCTCGGTCCTCCTCGCCGAAACTCTCGAATTCTTCGTAGATTTCTCCGTCGTTTGACGCGAACGACAGTGAGACCCTGCGGATCGAGCCGTAAAGCCGGTCTAAGTCGAGCGGGACTGTGTTTCGGATCAGAATGTGGCGGAACTCGTCCTCGAGCCGGGTCATCGCGATTTGGAGCGCGTTTTCGGCCCGGTCCACGAGTTCGTTATCGGACCGGACCGAAAGCCCCTCCATGAGAGTGAGGATCTCATCGACGGCCGATAAATACTCGCCAGACTCTTCCGGCTCCTCCCAAGGAACCGAGTTTCTGTGAGCTTCGGAATTCGACTCCCACCGAAAAATCACCTTCTCGGCGGCCTCGAATCGGTCGTTTTCGGCCTTCGAATCCTCGCCGTTGATCAAATCTGTGATGTTGGATAAGCGGTTGTCGAAGCTGGAGAAGATCAAGAGCATGTCCTCGCGTACCTCCTTGGGGGTGTTGAGGCTCTTGACGATCTGCTGAGCCGTGGCGAGGACCCGGTCCTCGCCGCCACCACCTATGCTCGTGGTCGTGGTGGTCATTTGGGAGGCGTTTGGGTTCTAGGGTTAGGCTGGAGATGAGGTGTTGTTTGGGAGTGGGGATAAGGGAGCACCTATTAGGATTTGGATTTGGCAAAACTGGAATTAAGGGAGGCGGAGACCATTCGGTGACGGCAGAGTTGGTGATTTTGGGGGTGTTCGGCTATGGGTTTAGGGCTGTTCGTCTCTCTTTTTTCCAGTCTGCAACTGAAATGACCAAACTGTCTGTTTGCTCTGGCTTTGGCCGGCTGCTTTGGGTTGTGCTGGTTTTTGGACAAGGAAAAAGAAAAGAATAGGAAAGAGGAGTGAGTTACGGGAAACTCCTCCTTATCAAACTTTGGGAGTGCTTGAATGGATCGGCTGCGGTGTTGTGCACTGATGCTAACCTGCGGTTTAGTTTCTTTTCCTTACCCATTTTTGATTGGGTCAAATGGGCTGGGGCCCACTATCCAACCTATATACTTTCTTTTTGCACGATAATAGGAATTTTTAAAGAATAATGTCATTTTTAAATAACGTGCCATGAATGTTTCTTCATTAAAATATAACGCATTCACACCAGAAAATGATTATAATAAGCCCCATTCACATGTATTTTGCACAAAAATGAAACAATTTTAGGTTTTCCTTTTTTGGCTGATGATGCAATTTAGGAGCTCCTATCTTTGGTTTTTTTTTTTTTTTAATTTTAAATTTATTATTTTTTAAAATAATTATTTTAGGAAACACGATATCTAATTCAAAATCAATAAGGGTGTATGCTTAAACTCATCTTGAATAAAATGAGAGCATTTTTCTCACTACTTTAATCCAAAGTGTAGTCTCACCATCATTTTCAACATTTGACACGTACACTACTTTAATACAAAGTGTAGCCTCACTATCATTTTCAATATTTGACACGTATTCATAAGAATAACTATGATTTCCTAAATATAAAGTAAAAAGTTAATTATGATTAGGCCCATAGATACATGTCAATTGTTGAAAAGGATGGTGATGGTACACCTTAAGTTAAAATGGTGAGTAAAAATATTTCTGAGGACTTGTCAACAATAAACGTTAAAACTTAATAAATTATACTTGAATGAGTATATGTTGACTTTTTTATAGTGTTAATAACAGCTCCTAAAGAAAATAGTGAAAAAAAAAAGTGGAAGACCCTCGATATAGGAAAAGAAAAAAGAAGAAGTTGAAAACCAATGTGAAATGATGACTTTATTTTTTCCGTTCTTAGTAACTTTATGATTAATTGGATCAAAGTTAAAAAGAGACGACGTCAATTTGGATTATATTTCCTTTTTATTGTCTCAGATTAGTTTGGATAAGATTGAATTTTCAATTAAATCATTTCAGGGGCATAAAATTGTAAAGTTTAGATATGGCGAACTAAAACCACAGATCTTGAATTTAATTATTCTCCTGAAAATAGATAAATAAAATAAATACTAAATTGATTAAATTATTTATTTTTCTGACAGAGAATAAAGAAAAGAAAAGAATAAATTGATTAAATTATTTATTTTTCTGACAGAGAATAAAGAAAAGAAAACATTATTATTATTATTATTATTATTATTTCTGAATGACGACACCATCTATTCGTCGAAGGCTGCAACTTCGGATTATGTCATGAATGTAACTTTTGTCGTTGTCAACTGCATTACAAACTCCAATTAGTTGACCCAAAAAATACTAGAAGAACCCCAATTCTATTTCTCTTCTTTTAAATTTCTTCCATGGATTATAATAAATAAATTAAAATAAACTACCTCACCTAACACGTTAGATTTCCAATTCATAAATCCAAAATCCAAATCCAAGCTTTGTTTGGAAATAATCAGAGAGTTTAGAATTTGATTTCTCAAATCTTTTTGTTGTATTATTTTATAATCCATGTGTACCGTGATTAATTAGGAATAGTAAAATAATGTCATCCCCGTTTCATGTAAGTGTTTCTCTAACTATGGATGTAGGATTTTGTAGATTAATTTCCTAATCTACCCCTCAATTATGAGATATTTTTATAATTCCACTATTTAATTATATAACGAAATGTTGATGTGGTTGTCTCTTTTGTCTCTCTCACATTTTTCTTTCTTAGGGATGGGGTTTGATTGGTGCAGGTGCAGCCATGGTTCCAGTTTCACACGGAACCAGCGCCAAACTTGGAAAACAGAAGCTTTGGTCCAAGACTCCACGGGTCCTGACTAAAAAGTCTAAAACCATCAACCTCAAGTTTGAGACGTGACAAATTAGAGGCTTGATTGAGAAATTAACTTTACTAATTAAAGTAAATGACATTAGAGAAAGAAATTAACAATGATTTATTCTTTTTGTTTATTGTCATTTTCGGATAATAAAATGATGTTTCTTTCAGCTACATCATTTAGAACCTGCCGTAAAGGTAACAAAGAATCAATCAGGGAGGTTTTCCTGGAAATCAGTAAGCTCCAAACAAAAGCGAATTGCATCAGACAAAGCCTAACATAAAATTTTCTCATCCAAAAGGCATGCCATGGAAAGTTCAAGCAAGTCAATTTTGACAACTTTTTACACGGTAGGCACAACTAGGATGACATCGAACTTTAGCCAACCACAAAAGGATTCTTCGAAGAACTTCTCGTCACTTGAAAGTTGTATCAAACACTGGGAAACATCTAGGAAATGAAAAAGGGACACTTATCTATGGGTCATTTCAACATCTTTAGTGTAAAAAATATAGCAAATAAAGATATCATTTTTACGAACTGCACCGACATAAAGCAAGGAAAAAAATAAGCTCCTTACAAGTTCCATTTATCTCAATCTGCATCACAACAATAACAACGGTGAGAAGCTAAACTAGAAATCTACAAAGCACAGCTCTACTGTCCAAGGTATTGGTTTTCCAAAAAATATTCAGTTATTAAGGTTTTTAAGACAACAAAAATGGCAGGAGTAACTCCATAAGCCAAATCTGACATGCTTTTGTGGTTCACTACCAGCATTATATAAACCATGATATATATGCCTTTTGACAGCATTTTTCTTGAAATATAACAAACGGAAGGAAGAAAGCTTCATCTGGGAGAGAAACTCTTGAGTTTTAAATGCTTTTAAAATCCTGACTAAACACCAATCCCTCTCTGAAGTTTGGGGCACGGTGAAGTAAAAACCTCGAGTCACAGATTCTACTGCTAGATTCGATTGGACCCCCCAACAGAAACAACACAAAAATAGAAAAAGTTTTACATCTTTCAATTAATCTGGCAAGGTTTAGTCACGAAAATGGTATCACAAGAAATATTTGAGCCAAACCATACCATTGTATCCAGGGGATATGGGTTATCTACAACATATTTGCATCTTGAGATAAATAGTCATTTGATGCCTCACCCTGAGAAGGAGATGAGAAGGCACAATAAGATTCCCCAAAAAGCTAAGAGAAAAATATTTGCTTTCTGTACTACATGAAACCGAATGAAGAAGGAAAACTGCAAACATAATGCTTACCATGTTTGACAACTGGTCTCTTATGCTATACATGGAATTCAGCATTGTTTCTAGTGTATCATTAGCTAATTCAAACTTCACTTCCGATTCTTTTGAGCGAGACTGTGAATCATTTAGGAGCTGCAGAAAGAGCAGTTATAAGTTATAACCAATAAGCAAATAAAAATGACATCTTTTCACCACATATACTAATAACACCACATTCACAAGAAGTTATGTTGGTTTTCCAGTACCTTCAAGTTGATAACAGCCACGGGGTCTGCGAATTCTGCATCCGGATTCGCCATGTCCCATGTCATTGTCTTTAACCGTGGCAAAGCACCCTATTTACATCATTGAGTTTACATATACAGCATGTCATTAGCCTAATTTCCTAACCCCCAGTAAATCAATGAGTTTACGTACAAACGCAGGAAAATCTGAAAGTTCATATCTCTAACCTGGTCCTTGAGTACATCTTGCCGCCATTCTCGTTGAAACTTCTGCAACAAAAGCGTCAACAGTCTCTGTAACTCAGGTAAGACCTCACTGGGAAACAGCTTCTGAATCTCATCTCTCCCGATGTTATCGTAAACGCATCTGCGAATCAACATGCGAAGGCATACAAAAAGCTGCCCCCAAAAAAAAAAACCAGACATTTACAAATTCTTTCAAATGAAATTCAGCAACAAATTCCCAATAAAAAGCGCTAAATTCATAGAAATTCGAAATTCAAAACACAAGAGATTGAGAGTGAGAGTCAGAGTGAGAGTGAGAGAAGTGTACCGGGTCGAGGTCCGATTCGTTCTGGAGCTGGAGCATATCTCGGATAATGTCTCGGTCGGCCGGGTCCAGACCGGTTTTCCGGGTCCTCCAAAGAGCCTGAAGAATGTACTCAACCGAATCTTTCGAATTGGACCTAACCAATAGCGGTAAATGGCTCCACAGCGTCTGCTCCATGGCTTGTCAAGCTCAGAAATCGATGCCCTAGCTCCACAGCGTCTGCTCCATGGCTTGTCAAGCTCAGAAATCGATGCCCTAGCTTCTCAACTTCAGAAAATGGCGGGCTTTCGCGCCCTAGCAAAAGGTCCAGTGACTCTGTGCAGGGATTTGCTTCCGCTTCTTTCTGACTGAAGAGAAGACGAGCACCAAACGACGTGACCTGTGCCGTTTTGAGTTAAAAGCTTATACTAATTTTGCATTTGAGCCCCTGTACTTCTATTATTCGCTTGAAGGCACCGTTACCGTTTTTAAAAAAGTTAAAAGGACGCCAACTCCTTGAAATTCAATTTTCAGACGACAACAAAAATGGCGCCGCACGATCTCCGCCGCGCGTACAAGAGGCCGGCGATCTCAGACCAGCAGAGGCGCCGAGAGCTCTCGCTGAAGCGCCAAGAGCAAGGCCGGCGCGACGCTCAGCTCCAGGCCCGCCGCCTAGCCTCCACCCTACTCTCCCTCCCGCCCGAACCCGAACCCGGATCATCGTCCAAAGAATCCGACTCCGACTTAGAATTCGATCTTCGCAACGCTTCGAAGCTCAGAGGCACAGAGGCGCGGAAGTGGGTCGCCAGACAGCTCATGCTCCCGGAGTGGATGATCGACGTCCGTCATCGCTTGCCCCACGACTGGTTCACTTTTCACCGTCAAAATTTGTTTTTATTTTCTACTAATTTTGCTTTTTTTTAAATAAGTAATTTTGGGTTTGGGTAAGTGTAGGTATGTGTTTGCGAGACCATCTGGGGAGAGATGCTTCGTCGTTTCATCGGACGGAACGACAATCAGTAGGCAACGAAACGGCACGGTCCTCCACCGTTTCCCGTCTGCTCTACCCAATGGTGCCAGGACCAGAGACGGGTCGGGTTCTGCTCAATCATATTCAATTCTAGACTGTATATTTCACGAGGTAAGTAATTCAATTATCATTTAAGCTTGATTGTTTACTTGTTTGCATTGCGCTCTAAGTGTTTGTTAATTTGTCAAGCTGGTTGTGAAATGAATGCAGATGGACCAGACTTACTATGTAATCGACATGGTGTGCTGGAGAGGCTACTCTTTGTATGATTGTACGGCTGAGTTTAGGTTCTTTTGGTTGAATTCTAAGCTGGCTGAGACGGGGGCTTGTGAGCCTCCCTCCCATTATCATAAGTATAGGTTCAGCTTGGTTCCTGTACATACTTGCGATCAGTCTGGTCTACATGCTGCATATGCTGGAGGGGTACCTTATGTAAAAGATGGTCTTTTATTTTATAACAAGTAAGCCCATTTCCTGATACTACTTGAAATTTGTTGATATGAGAGTGTTGATAGCGGTGATATATGATTCGTGGTTATCTGTTGTTTGGAGCTGTGAAATATGCCCTATGTTGTCACTGTGAATCACTACATCTGTGCTTGTCGGGTCAGATGACAGCTTGAGGACTCACTGTCATTGTTCTCGGATTTATACTATTGGAATTTGGAACCTTCTTTAGCATATGATTTATGTAAAATTGTTGTTTTTGCTAGGCATGCCCATTATCAACCAGGAAATACACCACTGGCGTTAGTTTGGAAGGATGAGAATTGTAGTCAGTATGTTATTGACACAGATAATAAAGGACAGGTTCCAAGCCATCAACAGGTATGTTCATTACATATCTTACGTATTTTCCATTACAACTTAGATATATATTGTGATTGGCTGACACACACACACACTCCCTTTCTCTCCCTCTCATTCCATATGATCAGGTAGTTTTGGAGCTGCAAGATGATGGAAAAGTGACTACCTCAGATGACCCCCCAGTTGTATTTAGTTGCTTAGATTTGGACTTCATACAAAAGGTTTGCTTTATAGTTAATTTTCAAACTAGAAATTTTTTACATCAACTAATTGGCATGGATATCTGCACCCAGTAAGTACAAGTAGTGCGTAAAAGTGTGGTACGGCTTTTTAAGGGAGTGGTGCTGCTATTGCAGTCATTACAAATTTCAGTGTTCTGTCACTGAAAACAAAATTTTCGCTTAGCTTTTGCATGGTAGCTTTTTTTTCCCTCTTCTTTTCTCTCCCCAACCAACCCCATGCTCAAAAGCCACAACCATGGCATATTGGCCCTAGCCCTTGGTTTTCCGATGAAAGTGTGGCTCTATGTCAGGCCACTAGTAAAACCATTTTGGGGATTGACCAGACAAACTGACTGGCTGGTACCTCTGGGTTCTTTGCAACTCTGTGAAGAGGTAGCCGGGACATTTAGCATTTTTCCTATTTGTCTTCATTCGATGTATGTTATTTGCCTTTGTATTTTAACTTTTCATTTTATTTTCAGTCAGGGTTGCATTCTGGAAATCTTCTTCGTTTTGCTATTGGCGATGGAGGATTGAGTGTTGTGGATGGGAAGCTTGAGAAGGCTGATTTACATTACCTTGGAAAGTCCAACCGAGCACGTGCTTTTGCAGATAGTTACTCCAAGGTTTGTAGAAAAATGTCTGGTGGAATTCACTCTTTCTTGATGTTAAGATTAGCCCAGTAAAATTTTATTAAAATCTTTTCTGATACTGATAATCTCTTTGGAATATAACCTTGCAGGTCATGTTTCAGAATATGGTTCGGGGGTCCCCCCTGAAAATTGATGATTTGGTAGCATCAATCAACACACCAGATGATGAAGGAAACAGACCTGACGTTGATATGGTTGGTTGATGATAAGTTGATAATTCTGATAGTAATGGTAGGCAGAGCACACCGCAGACGCATTCCCTCACTGTGATCACCGTGGTGATGTTTATATGCTCCAAAAGGCTCTTAAAACTTGCATTGGCAAGCTGCATGGCTTGAGTGTAGGGTTTGATTTATGCCTACTCTAATTTATTTGTACTCTTAAATTAGGCCGTTGATTTGGGAGAACAAGAATATCTGTATGCGAGCTACGTAATGATGTTGGATGATCATCAATGTATAGAAGTTCTCAAGACATGTTATGGGAACTTAGGACTGGGGAATAAGGAATTGGGAAGTGATTATTGATTTTACGGTGAGACGTGTATTTCCGATTCCTTATTTGTTCAGTAAATGTGGGGAAGTTAAGAATTGAAATAATTCATTTTTTTCCTTATACCCATAAATGAGTATGTGTGTTAGACCAATTGGCTAGGACAGTGAGCCTATCTCCTTATATTGAGGTTTGAACCCCTAGATTAGATGAATTTTAGAGTAACTTACTTAGACTATCGCTTGTATAACAAAAATGCCATGAATGAAAGTTGGAATGAAACACGAGGTCAAATTTATTATTTTAGATTTGATGGCTTGATAATATACCCCAATTGATAATTGCATTCCTCTTGTAACACATCTAATAGTCAACAAAGTTGAACTAATAAGCAAGCAAGCATCATATGTTACATGATATATAGCAGCCAAATGAAATAGAAAAGAATTTGAAGACAGTGTTATAATTCTAGGACGCAGCGGTGGTTGGTTCGCAACTGTCATGTACACAAGCCAATACATCGGTGTAGTCCCTTGATACGGTGAAGGAATCATGGACACTACTGTCGCTGCTTTTCTTGTACTCAAAGAGGAGAGATGTGTGATTGAATGCGGTCAATTTCACAAATCCGTAGTCATAATCTCTGTAAATACTCCAATTAGGCTTCACTTGGCTGAAGTCAGATAAATGGCTCCCTGCCCCTCCAACAACAACATGGATTGTTCCTTTGAATGTGCCGGAAAAGTGCGATTTTTCTGACGTTACGCATTGGTTCTACAACGAAAAGATTAAAGAAATGAAATCGAAGTCATCGGAAAACTTTGTATTGAGACTGGAACTGAAGATTTTCAAGCTAAACTTAGAAGTGGCTAAACAATTTGATACCTGGTAGATGGGGCACGACCTTTCATAGTTGTGGACGTGGCCATAAAATGCAATGTCTACCTTGTACTTCTGCCAAAGTTTCTGCAAGCTTTCCCTTCCCATTGGCTCTTCGAATGAGCCCTCCTGCCCATACCACCAGTTAGAGGAATAGCCCAGCACCCGATGAGCTAAAAAGATCAACCAAGGTTGCTTTTGTCTATCCACAGATGCAAGGCAATTCTCGATGAACTTGTACTGCTCAGATCCCTCCCTCCAGTCATGTTCAGTGTCAGCTACACAGAAGCGGAACATCCCAAAATCAGTTGAATACCTGTATGTACATTCATAGAATTTTCATTAGAATATGCGGCACACAAGCTTAAGAACAAAGACACTGCTCTGCAGAGAAAAGCAAAGAAAGCAGTTGATAAAAACGGATTGAAATGATGTGGTGTATCAGGTCTCACATCCTTCAAAGTCAGTATAAATACTTTAAATTACTAGAAATGCAGTCATGCAATTTACCAAAACTTTGCTCGGTTCTCAGCTGGAACATAGAACATGGTCTCAGCCAGCACACCGCATTCTCCACCTGAATCGTTTTGGTCATAAAAGGACCCTGAATCAGGCCAATCACGTTCATGATTACCACTGCAGGAATCAAAGAAAAATATTCATTCAACTGAGATCATAAAGGAATTTCTGAAATCTAATTTATAATTATATAACTGACAGAAATATGTAAGGACCATTCCACAAACCTGCCAACCATATATGGCACAGTTGATGCAATGGGTTCCACCTGTGATGTGAATTGGTCCCACTGTGAGATGTACCCATTTGCATATGACAGATCTCCAATATGAAAAACAATGTCAATGTTGTTCAAATCCCTGATGATTTGATCGGTAGTGTTCAGTGCACCAGGCTGGTAATTACTGTACTCATTTGAACCATCACGCTCACCCTGAAAGATGCAGGTGCAAACATGTATCACATACCAAAACCTCAACGTAATCTAACTACTTTTATAACATTTAAACACATGACATTGTAGAGAAAGGCTGGAACTTATGCCTAAAACCCCTGGCAATGGTTGTCAAGCAACCTCACAAATGGAAGTTCTATGTAACTGGTAAATGGCATTGTTCAAAATCTTTTTCTGCTCGGATCTTCCACTCATGTAAACAGTAAAAGACATCTGCAAATAAAAACTACAATTAAAAGTACCTTCCCCATGTCACCGAATATTATGACACGCTGTAAGGAGTCCTGTCCAGGATATGGAGATGATCTGAATGAGTAGAACTTGCTCCAAATAAACGAACCATCAACTAAACGATGGCCCATCCTGTAGATGTACCTGAAAAACCATCATAACAGTAAGAAGATATCATCAATACTTAACAAAACTCATGAACAAAAACACAAAAACAAAAAGGGATATAAATCCTTATATGCATACACAACGTTTGGCCACATATTCTTCAGGAAACTTGTATGTATGAAACCAGGATCGCGCCACCCAACAGTCCTAGCAGGTGAACCTAAAGGTAAAGAAGAGAACAACCTCAGTATGCAACATGGCCTAAATAGCCCTCAATATCCCATCACTGTGAAATCATTTCATTATCAAAATAGAAAGTCTCAGTAGATCATGCAACGTGGTGGTATCACAAATAGAAAAAATGAATCATACCACACATGCTGCTACGATCAAATGTCAATGTTCCAGCTGGGGCTCGCGTTCGAAGTTCCCCCATTATACCCCACTCAACAAATGGAATAGCTTCATTTATGTCGTAGCCACTTGTCCAAGTTACCGTCATCTGCAAAATATTTAAAAGAAAAGAAAAATAGAAAAACCTTAATATGAGTTTATAGCAAGCCAAAAGATGCATGGACCATAACATAACCTTTCAAACTCTAGGATGTTTATTAAAACAAATTAGCATCAGATAACCCAAGGTCAAGACTTTGAAAGAAGTTTAACATAATTGGTGAAAATGTGGATTCCACATGTTCAAGAACTCAATAATCCAATGTCCATCAAAATAGCACAAAGCGAATCAACAATTAAGATAAACTTACTTCATTCCAAGACTTCCCTTGAGCAAGACGTGGATATACAGGTGCTTTAGGATTGGCAAATGATATGAAGTTTGAAACTGCCACCAGCTTTGGCTGCAAAATTCAAGTATTGGGTCAATCACATTTAAAATCATTAAATCATAAAGGTTGATTAATTAGGAAAAATAATGAGAGGTCATATGTACGAAGGTCCAAGGTGACAAAGAATGAATGCAATAAGAAAAAATATACATTAATTCTTTAACTAAGAGATAGAATATGAGGAAGCATAGGAGCGGAAGAAAGAATCATGCTCGTACATTTGACAACCCCCCTGAAAATAATGCGAATGAGAAATCTGCACGCTGATTTATAAGCAGAAACTTCAAAGAAGCTTTGCCAGTCTTTGTATAATCTGGATTGGAGTCTTTTGCATACTTGTACTGAAACACAGGTAATATATCACGAAGGTTAGACAAGTCCAAATGAAATCGTTTCATATGTTACTTTAATTTCGTTTTTACAAAGTTAGAAACTACAACCACAAACCTTTATAGGGGCAGAGCATATATAGGGTTTTTGTTCTTCGGGATCATCTACTGGTGGGCACGTTGATGAGCTGTCATAGCAAAACATTATTACTTGAATTTCAAATAAAGAAACAAAGATTTTCTACAGTCTGCAGTTATGAGTGGACATGGTTTTGGTAAACTAATGGTTGATTATGACATTTTTGCACAGAAGATTCAGTCCCTCTAGCACCTCCGACTAATGTGTACTACGTTGAATCAATAGCTAGACAGTTGTGGTAAAACAGGTTATATGATCATTTGGTCATGTACATTACTTGAATTTTGCAGGAGAAAAAACTCCAACCCAATCATCTGCAGCAGGATTAGGGTACTCAAGAGCCACAGTTACCCATTGGGTATCCTCACCCTGTAATCATACGAATTAAAACAACTCATCAACACTTCAACTCCATGAATAAAATAACACACAGAGATTATATGAAGTCAAAACTTGAACTCAGTGCAGAAATTCATGTACTTTAAAAAGTCAGCACCCACTCAGCCAACAGTTACCAACACATTACATCCACAAAGTTAAAGACTTATTATTCAATCAAAATACTACAGTAGCGACCAACTATCAGTATAAATTTTGGGGGTAAGAAATTGGACACCATAAGTGTTGGTCTTAATGTCTATCAATGACAAATTAATCAAATATAAAATTAAATGATAATAAAAGTAAGATCAACTATCCACTTTACTGCATAATCTAGTAGCCATGCCTTGTTCTGCAGATTGAGCTATCCACTTTACTTAATATTTTTGACATGTCTCATTCTTTTTTTTAAGTACAAGCGATTGGGGGAGGGGGGTTACACAAACATTCATTGGGTGGAGGTGGAAGAGCTCAACCAACTAAGCTATACCCCTCTGGCGACATGTCTCAATCTTTTGTGTAAACAAATCGATGAACTTTAACCACACACAAAAGCCCCATTCATTATGTTATAAAATAGCATATAAACTTAACAGTGTATAACTAATAGATGCTTGTTGGCGCCATTGAATCAAAATAGTAAACAGAAGTTGTTACCTGTAAGCCGATAACAGGAGGAAAGGCTTTAACGGAGGCCGAGTCATGGAGGTCGAGAGTGGCTTTCTCAATGGCAATCTTGGAGAGTGGCTGTTCCCCAAAACCACCGATATGAGCACAAGCTGAGCCCAAAATCAGAAAAATCGTGAAAAGTCGAAAGCTTCGTTCCATTTTCTGAGGTGGGTTTTGAACGCAATGCGTAAAATTCAAGAAACCCTTATAAGTATCAGAAGATCGGATAACGAACCAACTTTGGTACCAATTACAGTCCCAGAATATCCAAGTTTCACTCTTTATCTTTTCCTCTAATTCCCGGTATTATCCTTTATCAATTGGGAGATAAAATTGGAGGTTGAATGCGAGAAGGATTGGAGAGGGAGAGAAACAGAGAGAGAAATCAGCGTGGATTTTAATAAGAAACCACAAGTGACACTCTCAGTCTCTCTCTCCCAAAATGAGCAGAGAAAGGGAAGGGGAAGAGCCTATCAGTTGGTCTTCGTATTACTGCATGTGTCTCCAACTGTTTAAGCTTTAATGGATTCTTTCGTTGCATGTGTGCACAAAATTTACCATGTTTTTAGATGACCATTTGGATGTTGGTAATTTTGGGTTCATAATATGGACCAATTCCTTAAATTTCCTACCAACGCATTTGAACATAAAATCAGATTCAAGTAACTGTTGTGTCTCCAACTGTTTAAGCTTTAATGGATTCTTTCGTTGCATGTGTGCACAAAATTTACCATGTTTTTAGATGACCATTTTGGATGTTGGTAATTTTGGGTTCATAATATGGACCAATTCCTTAAATTTCCTACCAACACATTTGAACATAAAATCAGATTCAAGTAACTGCTTTCATTGACCAAAACAAGAAAACAAAAATCTAAGCGGTTTTCCAAAATATGTGTCAATAAAAAACCCCACGTTGCAACTAAATTTTTATATCAAACCATCTTTTGATTGGTGCTTGCTTGCTAGTCCATACCTTGAACATGTAGCGTTTATACATTGTAGTGACCCTTTTAACCTTTTCCTCCACCTAACGGTATTGAGAGTTATTGTTGACCAAAAAATAAGGCATTATTGAGACTTATTGGCGGTACGGAACGGAAGTGTCAATAATTAAATGCCAATTTTCTTGTCAAGCATGCATACAATGCACAACAGCATTGTAGGCCAATTTTCTTGGCCTTGCCCTATAAAACCTGGAAATTGTTGAGCAACTAGAGACAACTAGTGAAAGCTATAGCTCTACATCATCATCATATGGAAATCACCTTAACATTCCATATTGTTTAATTTTAAATCATTCTAATGGATAGTTGAGATCTGCATCAACACTGCCACTTACAGAAGATCATAATTCAAATGCAAGGAAGACTGTACCACAATCAGACATCATCTCTCACAAATGAATTTATGCCTTTTCTATTGAAAGAGGCGCGCAACTAATGTACCTGCCATACTCCAACCCCTTTGTTAAGCCAACTCTCATTCATCACATTCAAACCCTGCCCTAACTAGAATGCAGACTTTCCCTGCCAAAATCTCAGCAATAACCCTTCAACCCTCCTTAATCAAGGATATTCTAACAACGCCACCTGACCCCTCATGTAACACCTCGATCCAAATAAGTAATTTATTTAATTATTTAATTGTGAAATTACATTCTTGCCTTTGGGAATAGGGGCACTTTAGTCATTTTTTGTTCGGAAATGATTTTGGGGAATTAAGTGGCACAATTGCGTAGTTTATACAAGTTCGTAAACAGCGGCAAGCTCAATTCTGATTTAAAATGAAGAAATTATGAACTACGAAAGTGCAGTGGCACAATCGTAATTTTTGCGAAGTCCCAATTTAAATACCAGATTAGATTCTTCCACTTCCACGTTATTTTCTCTCTTCTCTTAATTTGAGTGCTACAGTAACCCGAGAGCTATAGTGCTCGCGATTGCTACATTAATTTCTATCTTTCCCAGTCTAGCACGGTATATAACCAGGGTCTTAGAATCCACGGTAAATTTTTATATCAAACCATCTTATGATATGTGCTTGCTTGCTAGTCCATACCTTGAACTTGTACCATTTATACATTGTAGTGACCCTTTTAGCCTTTTACTCATCCTAACATTATTAAGAGTTATTGGTGGTATGGAAGTGTCAATAATGCAGTTGGCTAAAAGTGGATGGGTTTAATCAAAATTCGTAGAAGAAAATGGAATTCAAGCTAAGAATTAATCCAATTTAAAGGACTATTCTACTGGAATTTGAAGTGCTTGGACCAATCATAAGCATGTACTCTTATCTCTAGCTTAGCTTCCACCAAATTTAATTAAACCCAACAATTGGTCAATTATACTTGTACTAGAACTCTCCCTTTAAACAACGCCTACGAATCAAAGACTAGTGGTCTTATGTTCAAACCCTTATGGCACCTTGATAGTGCATGTGAGAAATTCCTCTCCCCAATATCGCTTACATATAAATAAATAAAATAAAATAATGAAAGAACTAAAAGCAAAGGAAATATCAGGAAATTAGGAGTTTATTCATTGATAGAGAATACCAGAAAGCTCACCGGTCATGGCTTGTTCTGTCTACAACTGAACAGCTTAAATAATTAAAGAGTTATTGGTGGTATGGAAGTGTCAATAATGCAGTTGGCCAAAAGTGGTTGGGTTTAATCAAAATTCGTAGAAGAAAATGGAATTCAAGCTAAGAATTAATCCAATTTAAAGGACTATTCAAGTGCTTGGACCAATCATAAGCATGTACTCTTATCTCTAGCTTAGCTTCCACCAAATTTAATTAAACCCAACAATTGGTGAATTATACTTGTACTAGAACTCTCCCTTTAAACAACACTCTCCCTTTAAACAACACTTACGAATCAAAGACTAGTGGTCTTATGTTCAACCCTTATGGCACCTTAATAGTGTATATGAGAAATCCCCCTTCCCAATATCGCTTACATATAAATAAAAAAATAAAAGAAAGAAAGAACTAGAAGCAAAGGAAATATCAGGAAATTAGGAGTTTATTCATTGATAGAGAATACCAGAAAGCTCACCGGTCAGCGCTTGTTCTGTCTACAACTGAACAGCTTCAATAATTAAATGCCAATTTTCTCGTCAAACATGCATACAATGTTTGATCAGAAAAGAAAAAGAAAGTGAGATGACACTTAAATCATGTAGCCAAAGTGGTCGGTTCACAGCCATCATGAACACAGGCCAACACATCCCTGTAGTCCCTTGAGATAGTGAAGGAATCGTAGACCTTCCCATCACTGCTCTTCATGTACTCAAAGAGAAGATAAGAGTGGTTAAATGCTGTGAGTTTTGTATAGCCAAAGTCAAGATCCTGGTAAACGCTCCAAACTGTCTTGAGTGTACTAAAATCTGATAAGTGGCTGCCGCCTCCACCAACAACAACATGAATTGTTCCATTCACAGTTCCTGAATAATGGGATAGTTCTGAATTTACACATTGGTTCTGCAACACATAGAAATCAATGATGAAGGATCAGATTAGTAACCGACAGACGATTTAAATCGGTAAGTCTAAGAGCTCTTCAAATGCTATTATGTTTTTGCATACCTGATAAATGGGGCATATTCTTTCATAGTTATGGACATGGCCATAAAATGCAATGTCCACCTTGTACCTTTGCCAAAGCTTTTGCATATCATCTCTTCCCATAGGCTCTTCAAATGAACCCTCCTGGCCATACCAGGAGTTAGAGGAATAGCCAAGAACACGATGACCTGCGAATATCAGCCAAGGCTGTTTGTTCCTGTCAGCTGCTGCTAGGCATTTCTCAATAAATTTGTACTGCTCAGAACCTTCCCTCCAGTCATGCTCAGTGTCAGCGATACAGAAGTGGAACATGCCATAATCTGCTTGATACCTGAAAAGAAAAAAAATTACAGTGTTACATTAGCTAACTAGCCAACTTGTTGGATGATTGGTATATGTAATTTGGTGTGTTGATTCAGAATATTATTAATCATATCATCTCTTCCCATAGGCTCTTCAAATGAACCCTCCTGGCCATACCAGGAGTTAGAGGAATAGCCAAGAACACGATGACCTGCGAATATCAGCCAAGGCTGTTTGTTCCTGTCAGCTGCTGCTAGGCATTTCTCAATAAATTTGTACTGCTCAGAACCTTCCCTCCAGTCATGCTCAGTGTCAGCTATACAGAAGTGGAACATGCCATAATCTGCTTGATACCTGAAAAGAACAAATTGCAGTGTTACATTAGCTAACTAGCCAACTTATTGGATGATTGGTATATGTAATTTGTTGTGTTGATTCAGAATATCATTAGTATACTCAAATAAGCTTAGATAGACGCATACGGTTTGTGAATATTTCCTGTTTGCAAAATATTTGGTTAACCAACTTTAACTTTCTCTAAGATTTTTCTTTTCTCTAACCAGTCATAATAAGTCACAGAATCATTCATGTTATTTACCAGAACTTAGCCCTGTTATCAGCAGGAACAAAAAACATAGTCTCAGCTGGCACTCCACATTCACCACCCGAATCATTAGTGTCATAGAAGCCGCCAGTGTTTGGTGTATCTCGTTCGTGGTTGCCACTGTTGGAGCAAATCATATAAGTTTCAGAGGAAAATGTGAACAGCGTATACATTGAGCACAAGTATATATGCAGAGCACTAAGGATAAAAAAAGAAGCATGCAAACCTTGCAACCATATACGGCACAGCTGATGCAATAGGCTCCACCTGCGATGTGAACTGATCCCACTGTGACAAGTATCCATTGGCATAGGGCATATCTCCTATGTGGAAAACTATGTCAAAGTTGTCTAGGTCCTTGATCAGTGAATCTGTGGTGTTGAGTGAGCCTGGCTGATAATCAGCGTATTCATTTGAACCATCACGTTCAGCCTGAAATTTTTGTTGAGGAAAAGTAAATTCTCTGTTGTATGCATCTAGGCAACTAAATCTTCAGAATTTAAATGTCACATAAGGCATAATTTTCTTGGTTCTTCAACATTCTGCACCAAGCTTTGATAGTTTTCATTTTATTTTATGTTACCTTTCCCATGTCACCAAACACAATAATGCGCTGTAACGAGTTCTGCCCTGGATATGGTGGTGCTGTAAAAGCATAGGATTTGCTCCAGATATAGGAACCATTGTATAACCTATGACCAAGCTTGTAAGTGTACCTACATAAACAATCATAAACAATCAATCAGTGCTAAAGCCTTAAGGACAGTACAGCTGTTTCTTCTTTCCTGATCATCATAGTTCCTTGTAAGACAAGAATGCAATGTAATAATTTTCAAGCTGCATACTTTGAGTTAGGCCACAAATTCTTTAAAAAACTTGTGTGGAAGAAACCAGGATCGCGCCAACCAACTGTTCGTGCTGGTTCAGCTGCAAATCACAAGAAGAAGTTCATTACAAATAGACTCAATTGGCATTTCTGTTCAAATTAGATTTTGATCATACGATCCATACCACACATGCTTCCTCGAGGAAATGTCAATGTTCCTGCTGGAGATCGAACTTGAGCTTCTCCCTTGAGACCCCACTCAACAAAAGGTACAGCTTCGCTAATGTCATAGCCGCTTGTCCATGTTACTGTCATCTGCAAAAGAGTAAAACAACACTTTTTAGAAACTTGGTTTACTTATTTGGGATAACATTTCATACAAGAAACTTTTAAGGCACGAAAGAAAAGTACTTATAAATCATAATTAACACAAAAACTTACTTCATCCCAGTTCTTGGACAGAGCAAGACGAGGGTAAAGTGGTGCCTTCGGATTTGCGAAAACTATAGCATTAGAAATTGCCACCAATTTTGGCTGCATTACACGAACATTTATCAGTTTATGAAGATTTGAAACACAGGTGATATAAAATACTGTTTGAAGCAGCAGATTATCTGAAACAGAGGAGACATGACTCACGCTTGACAGGCCACCAGAGAACAAAGCAAATGCAAAATCTGCCCGTTGGTTGATCAATCGGAATTTCAAAGTGGTTTTGCCTGTCTTGTTATAATTAGCATTGGAATAATTGGCATACTTGTACTGCAAGTAACGAGAACAAGAAGATTTGAGTTCAGCAGGACAATGGTTAGAGCATATATTGCAACAAGCCAAATAACACAACATATACAAATACCTTTATAGGAGCTGAGCATAGATATGGCTCATAATAGTCTTCAGTGTATGGACAGGTCGATGCGCTGCCACAACAGATTCACTTCTTTAATTAATCTATAAGATTTTCTTTGAAATGGATAGGAAACAAAACCAAAAAAAAAGACTGCAACTTTGATGATTTGAAAAGTCTATTAGAGAATCATATATTGGATCCAAATGCTTGTTGTTACGAAATGGACCAACGAAACATTAAACAAACCAAAAGAAAGAAAAAAAGTATGGAATTAAAAGGCCAAAAGAATAGAAAGTGGAAAAGCATCAACATTTGTTTTCTATGTCAAAGGGTGAGAGGTGTAGTGGCACCACAGTGGGACAAACTCTCCTCCTTCCCCCCAAGTGCACCCGAATTTAATTCACGTAGGAGATAATCTTGAATTTCTCCTCCTAATCCCAAAATAATATTCCCCCATCTCCTCTCTAGCAAATGACCAAAAAAAAAACGGTGAGAGGTGTGGCTTTTATCTTTTCTTTTTTGTGTAATAAGAGCATAAACTTTCCTTGATACGTAGCCA